ATAAAAGTCTTTCTTAAGCCAATACGATCTGTTATAACAGCCCTTCACACGACACGTTTCACACGAGTGAAGAATTTTACTCGCAATTTTGGGACGGAAACTCCTTCCGAACTTTGACCTTAAGCTTAAGCGCATGCGCAGTGTGAAACTGTCAACGGGTGTATATGCGCATTAGTCATCTGCGCATCTTGCCCTTCGACACGGTCGCAATAAACAAACATGGCGGACTTTCCTGTCACTGATGGAAACATTTGATTGAAACAATTTGCAATATGTATTAAATTAGTAAGACTGTGTTATGTGTGTCAGGTTACAAGGCGAAACAAAAGAAAAAAGAGCATTTCTACTATTTCCTACGGCCGTGCAAAACAAGATTCAAACAAAAAGAAAACAAGAGCAAAACAAAAGCATGCCTACAGAGCGTCCAAATACTACGAGCGTCCAAATACGCCGGTACACCGGTGTCCCGTAGAATTTGGGGTGGGCATATGTTTCCATGAGCCAGACTGATCGCGTGACGTCAGTGTACGTCACGCACGAACTCAACAATATTGCAAATTGTTTCAATCAAATGTTTCCATCAGTGACCTGGTTTGTTTATTGCGACCGTTTCGATGGGCGAGATGCGCAGATGACTACTGCGCATGCCGCGCATGAGCCCTTGCAAAAGAAGAGGCGCATGCGCACTTAGGAGCGTCCAGTTTCGGGCGAGCGTCCAAACTATGGTACACCGGTTCTACGATTTCCAGGAGGGGTGATAAATAGGTTGGGGTGTCTGTGAGTTCTTCCCCAGAAAATTTTGAACATGTAGATCGCAGGAGATAGTATTTGTAGCACTTTCAGTACATGTACGGCCTTCATTCTGACTACGACAATTCTCTTTTATGGCCCAGTCACACATACGCAACGCACGGCCCGCGCATTGAAAATTAATCAAAAAATGGAAAATAAGATCAGTGCGTCTTGTGCGCGCCAACTTTTGTCAGGATTTGGGAGAAGCTAGCGAGTTGACAACGAATGCACAGCGTGTTGCTAGCACGCTGCGCGTATACAGGCCGCACATGTTAAAAAATCCAACGAATGCACAGCGTGTTGCTAGCGCGCTGCGCGTATACAGGGCGCACATGTTAAAAAATCCAACGAATGCACAGCGTGTTGCTAGCGCACGGAACGAATGGTCCGCGCATGCACCGCGCATTCAATGCACAGCCAGCGAATGAACAGGTCATGATCAGGGATATGGTGTTGTGAGGCTCCACCCATAGAACATTGAGTGATACTTGGTCCCAGAGGCAAGATGCCGCAGAGTGAGGGCAAGCTTCAGGCCAGGGTCGAGGGCCTCTCTGTAGGTTGTATTCTGCATGGTGATCTCGTGACCCATTCTGGTTAGCAGCTCGTCGAACATCTCGGGGGCATCCGCATGAAGTTCTTGAAGGCTGCCTGGTCTTCATTACGGAGTTCAGCAAGTAGCTGGTCATACAGGCCAAACTGTCGTCGCCTACCGATCCACGGTCGGACCCAGAACCTCCGTTGACCTTTCTTCTTTCTCATTCTCTTGATGACATGGACTTGGTGAAGTGCCAGTTCCATGAGGTTCTGCTGAAGTTGGAGAACCGCAATTTCGTATTGTAGTCGCAGCCTGTCGGGATCCTCCATCTTCTGCGGTGGTTCTTCTAGACACGATCAGCAGGAACCTCTGTCATCACCCATGGAGCCATGAGGGTCGGAGGAGAAGTGATGATGAGGTGGGGGCGGGACCCGTTTATATATACCTCATGGCTACACGCTGCGTACACGCTAGGAACACGCTAGTAGAACGCTGGGCGCGCTACAGACTCGTTCAGCACTCGTTCAGCATGCCCATATTTGCTGCATGTTTGCTGGACATGCGTTAGAAGCACACTAGGTGTGCGCTAGGTGTTCGCTACACCTCAGCTGACGAACATACAACGAATACCCAGCGTGTGTCTGTCGTTGGTCCAGCGTGCTCTGCGCGTGTCTGGCGTCCTTCTGGCGTGTACATTCATGCGTCGAGCTCCGCGCACATTTTTGCGCATGCACAAAAAAATCCTGACGCACACAGCGAATGACAACGAATGCGTTGGCCCAGCACGCTCGACGAACAAGTAACGAATGCTGACGCACACCCAGCGAAAAACAACGCACTGGCCAAAATTACTAATTTTTCAGTGCGCAGGCCGTGCGTCATGTATGTGTGACTGGGCCATTAGTAGAACAATTCATTTTTTAAATTTTGTTCCAAAATCTAGGGGGGCAGCTGCCCCCTTGGCCCTTGCCCCCCCCCGCAGGCTACGGCCCTGAATTCTATTGTTCAAGTGTCTGGTGAATATTTGCTCTTCGAACTAAACATCTAATTTCAATAGTGTAGATGATACTCGCTGTGTAAATATGTGCCTCACTTTGCCATAGTTGAAAGTACCTGCAGGGCCGTAGGCTGAGCAAATTCTGGGGGGGGGCAAAATTTCATGATAACTGTAATGATGAGGGACGGGCGCAGCTCTTGATCGACGTCCATAGTGTGGTGGGGTGGGTCTGAGACAAGGCTTTCACGGATAAGCGACCAAAAAAATCTTTACAAAATAAAGCCTTTTTAGGTGTATTTTAATTTTGCTACAAAATCTAGGGGTCAGCTGCCCCCCTTGCCCCCACAAGCTATGCGTGAACAGTTCACTGTTGGCATTTTAAAGGCCTGGGGCAACTGAGACCCACCCACCAACCCACTGCCCCCCCCCCTGCTAGCTACAGCCCTAAATAAAATTTTAAATTCTACATTAATGTTCCTCTTTAACATCTTACATCAATCACTAAACTCTCATTATGCAATATCCTGTTGCATTGGCTTATTATATGAAAATATCGTTGTAGATTTATGAGCTTGTGTAGTGTGTATGTTCACAGCATATTTTGTTCCTGTTGCAGAGCAAAAGGCTACATAGGTAGTGTTTCAATGCTATTTAATAGAATTTACTAATGTGAAAGTTTGGATCCTTTTTCAGGCAGAACTTTTCAATAGAAATGATCCATGTTCTTGTAACTGGAGCGGCCAGTCGAATAGGATATTCCTTGCTTCATATGATCGCCAATGGTGATGTCTTTGGCTATGATCAAGTAAGCTTTGCATTGTGTAAATACGTATTGCATATTTCGGTAAAAAAAGTTTTTAATTTCTATATACTTGACTTCACATTTTTTAGCTCGGCTGACGAAATCAGATGCAGCTTGTAGAATCGCATGATTGTCCGTCTGTCCGTCTGTGCGTCCGTCAACAGTTGGGCACAAATCTTAACCGCTCAACGTACGGTCTTGATATTTGGGACGTCAGGGGGGGGGGTTGTGAAAAGGACTCGGGATGTCGAATTTGGGGGTCAAGGGTCAAAGGTCAAGATGTGTCAATGGAGGGGGAATATTTCCCCCTTAACTTAAGGTATAGGAAGAAATACGGAATTGCGGCACAAATCTCAACGGCTTGACCTACGCTCTTAATATTCGATGTATAGTGTGATGGGGAGGAAACCCATCACCAGCACGAAATTGGAGGTCAAAGGGCAGTGGGGGAAAGGTCAGGGGGCTCTAATAGCAAAAGCAGTTCAGTCCTTTGTTAACAGTCAACAAATCCGTGTTTACCCCTCCTCTTGAGGGTCAAAAGGTTATCAGACACTTACTCTTCGCACGTCAGCGGAAAGCACATTTCATGGTCCTTTCAATAAAGTGATAAAAATGGTAGGTCAGCGCTGAAACAAAAAAGTTTTGCACTCGGTCCGTTAGACCATGTCCTCAGAAAATGTCTGATATCTCCACCCACCCCCTCCCCCCACCCTCCCCCTCCCCACCACCCTCCCCAATCTCCTCCCACCACCACCACTACGCTCGCACTCGATGCATATCCATGATAACATGTTAATATAGTGAAGTCATTAAAGTTACACAGCTGTATCTTTATTACTGTACTACAGGTATAGCAAAGTCTATGATAGATTTTAGATCTGTATTAGTAGTATCCTAGATATATGCAATGAGCGAGAACGCGGTGGCGGGAGGGCGAACTTGATTCATTTCCAGTTCGGACTGGGTCCAGGCAGTTTCTGGCTGGAACGCAAAGGGTTTGTGCCTAATCGATACTAATGATGATGCAAAGTGATGCACGACGGAACTTATTTCGTTTTCAAAAATGCATTGTTCTCGCACCTTGACAAAGCTCTCCTTCAGCCACTCATTGCCACCGACCGCCTCACACACAGACATCACTCGTCCATCTTTCTCGACAGATGCGTGCGACACGTCTGGGATCTGGCTGGAGGAGTGGTTGCCCCAGACAACGATGCCGGACACGGCGTCCACCCCCACTCCACTCTCTCTCACCCTGGCGGCCGCATTCTATTGACAGACAGCAGTGAAAACCACTTCACCGTGAAGCATTTTCAAGGTTTGACTTCTACTGTAAGTGTTCACATCAATTCGTATCATAGACAATGTTCTAACAGCATAAACAACTGTCGCTACTATGCTCGCTAGTATTTGCACGCGGATAGCATTAGGCCTATTGCTCTTGAACGCTAATTAGGGGTTCATCGCAACACATTGTCCAAATTTACTATCAGGCTTTAAATGGTATACATTTCTCTAGGATTCTGAAGATACTGTTTCAGCGAAATAGGTGTTACAATACGGCACGTTCTCATACTAAAGTTTTATGGTATCAATATTTAATTAAGCATCCTCTCCTTCTAAAACATGTTTTAACTCAAGGTCTATACCGTTTTGCTCCCTGATTCCAACGGGACACTTGTCCCCTCCCCACGGCGTGTGCCGCCACTGGCCTGACACTCACCTGCTTTAAAAGTTAAGCATATGCAACTGTTTCAGGTTATCTCTGCAGGCCTACAAGATGGTCGTGTTTATTTATTATTAATTTAGAGCAGATCGCAAAAGATTTTTCATTTACTATTATCTAACCGACAATATAGTGTGCACGTCGTATATATATGTTGATACTGTTCATACTATTCGTCCTTCATAAAATTAATATCTTTCCGGGCGTTAATATTAGCATTTAGGATACAAATATACATTTGTACCTCTTTTCTTGTTGTATTAGTCCTTTCCGTCTGCTTGTTATTACGGTGGCAACAATGAAAGATTCTTGGCAAACCTAATGGCCACCGTTTTCAGTTGTGGCAGCTTCTGACCCCGGCTGGCGCCTCCGGTGTCATGTCAGCCTGGCCCAAAACTAAAACGTTTCGAAATGAACTACTGTTTATGAACAAACGTCGATGCGTAAATTATAGACCTATTTATAGTATGTGGCTTATTATTTACTCACACATACACTGCATACATGATCATACTCTCAACTTCTTAGAGGAAACGTATCCCTTCCACAGTTATGTTTGATGCCAAGTGTGTTATATGCAAATACATTTATCACCACTTAAATAATATGTAAAAAATATGTAGCCCATTTAGATTTGATGTAATAACTACTGTACCTGCGATTGAGCTCGGTTCTGGTCAAGTCTAGTCATGGCAGAAAAATTTCTTGATGGGATTGACGGAGCGTATTTTGCTGCAATGGGCTGCACTGGTGTTTGCTGAATTTCCACAACCACTACCTGATAATACACAGTAATATTAGAATAATGAGAATCACTTTCCCAATCATAATCAAACAATCCAACAAGGGCAAATAGAAACAAATGTACTTTTACTCACTCATGAGCTCATTACAGTAAACTATTGGTTCACACTTTGAATGAGAAATAGCAAGCTCAGATAATCATTACATCTTATCATCATGAATTTTATTATAATGCCCATAATATATATGGCACACAGATGTCTTTCACTCAAATAAGTTTGCTCAGTCAGCATCTAAAATAAAACAAAGATTGAAAAATACCATGTGCAGTGCTATCACGCATACCTTCACGCTTTTCTTGGCCCATTTGTTTAATGCCTTTCCTTGACTTCTGACCATTTTCACATTTGCAGCAAGTAGATCCTTTCGTTCCATTCCCCATTTTCTTGGCATGGCACTTAGTAGTAGAGCTGCATCAACGTTAGTAAATGCTGTCTCTTCATCAGCCGTTGCAATGATTCCTGAATAAAATTGTAACAGGGATATCCACATTACAAACTTGCTTCTTAAATTAGTCAAAGTTAGCCGATGTGTTTGAAAAGATACTATTAGAAAAATGTGTATTTAAATGTCAGAACAATACCTACATCTACATCTTCATTTAGATGCAGAACTGGACATTTACATTTACTCAATGGTGGTATAATTCTAGTAAGCATGAAGCATACTATTTGAGGAGGAGCCAAACGAAAAAAATACATCAGGGAATCATCAGATATAAAAAGAATACAAGATAAATAACTATCCTATACTCTTTACATATTGTCCTATCCTGCTCTTTCTCACTAGGACTAGAATAAGGACAAAATTTACTATGTATCACCTCTGAGCAAGGGGAATGCACAGTCATTCAGTTCCATTAGGACACCTTCCAGTACACCCATTAATGGCTTCACGTCTAGCATTATCAGCTCCAAAGGCTAAAACAAAAGCTAATAAGTCATAAACAGATACACGTTTAGATCATTGACAATACCATGATTACATACCCCACTTTTAATCATTCAATTTCTCCACAAAAGCAAACGAAAGATCTAGCTATTACTATATATAACTGTCTATAACTAATTACGTTAGACAAGACACTGAAACAAGTGCCGCAGAGCGACAGCACTCAACTGACGTGTACTGTAGCAGGTATTCTTCTGGACTAAACTCGACTGGCAAACCCGAATCATGCGCCCTCCTCCACCCCGTTTCGCGGCCTCAGTAGCATATCATCTTAGGAGTACTACCCCAGAAGGTAGAATAATTAGAGAAGGAGTGCCTACCTTCAATAAACAAGAGATTCGTCATTGACTAGCCTATAGTTATACTACAATTTACCTACGCATAACTTCAGACCAACTTGAGCCTCACAATCGTACACAATCACATTCGCCTCCTAGCAGTCCGTGGCCGAATGACTCGTTTCCTCGGCTACTACACTGGCCATCCGGAGATACAAGACTAGAACGTGACGACACACGATTTTCCATTTTGTTGCAGCAAACTCCGATTGTGATAACCGTCTAACTCGAAACAAAAGCAGCTTACTAGCACCTCTTGCCCCGTGGCCAATGCCGGGGCGTGCCTGGCTCGCTGAGCTTAAACCGTTTGGACCTATTACAGCGTGCCTTTTCGTTTCGAGTTAGGCAGGTTAACACATACGAGTGTGACTACCAATAGAATGGAAAATCATGATCGGTACGGTTTATAGTCTGTATCTCCGGGATTGCGGTGTATACGAGGGGAAAACGGATTTTGCACGTAATGTATGCGATATGACGCGTCTACCGATTTGAGCTCAAGTTGGTGAGTTAAGGTAGTAAATCGTTAGCTGTATCTAAGGCCTATCGTAAACGGACACGAATTTCCCTTGATTAGTTGGATGTCACCAACCTTTCCCTATTTAATTCTACTCCTGATACTACATAATACAGATCTAAAACCTGATGATACGGCTTTGCGTATACCTACTGGTAGTACAGATAATAACACAGTCACCGCCGCGTTACGTTTAATGAACTGCGCTATTATTAAAATTTATCATGGGAATATGCGTCAAGTCGTTGCAGCGTGAGACAGTGGTGATGGGGAGGGGGGGGCGGGTTGGAAGTGAGCGTCTAATAGCTAAAAGAGTCAATGAGTCCTTTAATTAACAGTCAACAAATCCATGTTTAACCCTCCTCTTGAGGGGTCAAAAGGGTTACCAGACACTTACTCTTCGCGGCACTCGTCAGCGAAAAGTGGTATTTCAATGGTCACGTTCGATAAATAGTGATAAAAATCGTAAATGTCTCTAGCGTGAAAGGCAAAAAAAGTTTTGCACTCGTCCGTTAGACCATGTGCCTGTCACGAAAATCTCTAGAATCTGACCTTCCGCTCCACTGCCCTTTGACGCCTCAAGTTCGTGCTGGTGTATGGGTTTCCTCCCCATCACACGGTATACATCGAATATTAAGAGGCGTAGTCAACGCTTGAGATTCTGTGACCGCAATCCGTATTTTCTTGCTATACGGTAACGTTAAGGGGAATATTCCCCCTCCATGACACATCTGACCTTTTGGACCTCCCCCGCCAAATTCGATCATTCTCGAATCCCTTTTCACCACCCCCCCCCCTGACGTCCCCAAATTCATCAAGACGATACGTTTGTGCGGTTAGATCTGTAGCCACCAACTGATTGACGTGCCTCACGCACAGACGCGACAGGACGGAGCAATCATGCGATCTCACTACAATGCTGCATCTGATTTCCGTCAGCCCGAGTCTAAAGAAATGTAGGAAAGTCAAGCTACTATAGGAAATTTAAAAACTTTTCTGTAGCCGAATATGCAATACGTATTTCCACACAAGTGCAAAGTCTACTGATCATAGCAAAGACTATTCACCCTGGCGGAATCATGATGAAGCATGGATATCCTATTCGACTTCTGGCCGATCCACGTTACAAAAGAACATAGGCTCATTATCATTAAAGATTCGTGCCTGAAAAAGGATCCACAACTTCCACAGTTAGTAAATGTCTAGTTAAATATCGCATTGAAACACGTACTACGGCTTAGCCTTTTGCGTCTGCAAACAGAACAATAATATGCTGCTGTGAACTGTCAAGGGGCTATACACACTACGCTAAGCCTCATTAAATCTCAACGAGTATGTCAGCTATTAATAAGCAATTGCAACAGGATATTGCTATATGAGAGTTTTATGTGATTGATGTAAGAGTATTAAAGAGGAACATTAATCGTAGAATGTTAAAATTTTATTAAGGGCCTGTATGCTAGCCGAGGGGTTGGGGTGGCAGTGGGGTTGACCGTGGGTGGGTCCTCAGTTGGCCCCAGCTCTTTACACACATGCCAACAAAGTGACATCGCTCAGCAATAGCCTTGTGGGCGGCAAGGCGGGGGCAGGGCCTGCCCCATAGATTCTGTAGCCAAAATTACAATCATCACTAAAAAGGCCTTTATTTGTAAAAATTTTTGGTGCGCTATGCGTTGAAAGCCTTGTCTCAGACCCACCCCACCCACGACTATGGACGTCGATCAAGAGGCGCGCCCCGTTCCCTCATCATAACGAGTATCGATGGAATTTTGCCCCCCCCCCACGAATTGCTCAGCACTAACGCGCCCTGCAGCGTGACTTTCAAACTAATGGCAAAGTCGAGCGCCACATATTTACACAGCGAGTATCATCTACATATTTGAAAATGAGATGTTTAGTTCAAGAGCACAATATTCACCACACACTTGAACAATAGATTCAGGGCCGTAGCCTGCGGGGGGGGGGGTTCGGCAAGGGCCAAGGCGGCAACTGCCCCCTAGATTTGTGGAACAAAATTTAACAAATGATTGGTTCTAACTAATGGCCCAGTCACAACCATACACGCTGACGCAAGGCCCTGGCGCCTGCAAACAATTAGTAATTTTGGCCAGTGCGTTTCTTTTTCGCTGGGTGTGCGTCGCATTCGTTATCCTTGTTCCGTCAGGCTGCTGCGCGCCAACGCCAATGCTTGTACATTCGGCTGTGTTGCGTCCCGCGATTTTTGTGCATGCGCAAAAATCGCGGGAGCCGACGCGCCCATGCATGTACACGCCAGAAGGACAGCCAGACCACGGCCGACAGAGCACGGCTTTGGACTCCAACGGGACAGCGACACCGACTGGTATTCGTTGTATGTTCGTCAGCACTGAGCGTGTACGCAGAACCACCTACGCGCATCACTAGTGTTCGCTGATCTTAACGGCATCGTCCAAGCCAACAATGCCAGCAGAATATGGGCATGCTGACAGTGATGAACGAGTCTGTAGCGCGCCCAGCGTGATCTGACTAGCGTGCTCTAGCGTGTCGCAGCGGTGTAGCCATGAGGATATATATAAACGGAGTCCCCCACCCATCTCTATCATCATTCTGCTCGACCCTCACTGGCTCCATGCGAGTGAGTGACACGAGAGCTTCTGCCTTCGATCCGTGTCCAGAAGAAGAACCACCCAGGGAGATGGAGGATCCCGGACAAGGCTGCGACCTACATACGAAATTGCGGTTCTCCAACTTCAGCAGAACCTCATTGGGAAGACTGGCACTTCACCAGTCCATGTTCATCAAGAGAATGAGAAAGAGAAGAGGCACGAGAGGTTCTCTGCGGACCGAACCGGGATCGGTAGGCGACGACAGTTTGGCCTGGTGTTCCATGCACCAGTCCTATCTTAGCTGACTCGTACATGAAGACCAGCCAGCCTTCAAGAACTTTATGCGGTGCCGCCCCGAGATGGTCATCGACGAGCTGCTAGACAGAAGTGGGTCGGAGGATCACACTCGCGAATACAAACCTATCAGAGAGGCCACATCGACCCTGGCCTCGAACGCTGCCTCCCACATTGCGGCATCTTGCTCTGACCTAAGAGTATCATCAATGGCTTCTATGGGTTGGAGCCTCACAACCACCAGGAATCCCTGATCCATGACATGTTCAATTCGCTGGCTCTGCATTGATATCCCGCGGTGCATCGCGGACCAGTTCGTTCTGTGCGCTAGCAACACGCATGTGCAATTCGAATTGGATTTTTTAACCATGTCGCCGCCCTGTATACGCGCAGCGCGGGCTAGCAACACGCTGCTGCAGTTAAGTTGGATTTATTTAACATTGTGCGGCCTGATATACGCGCAGCGGCTTAGCAACCCACCGCTGTGCATTCGTTGTTCAACTCGTCAGCTTCTCCCAAAATCCTGACATAAAGTTGGGCGCACAAACGACGCACTGATCTTATGTTCCATCATTTTTTGATTAATTTTCAAGCGGCGGGCCCGCAATCCTGCGTGCGTATGTGATGATGGGCCATATAAAGAGAATTGTCGTAGTCAGATGAGGCCTACATGTAGCTGAAGTCGTACAAAATACTATCTCCTCTGCCCAATCTAACATGTTCAAAATTTTCGTGGCGAAGAGACTCACCAGACACCCAACCTATTTATCACCTCCACTCCTGGAAATCGTAGAACGGTGTACAGTAGTTTGACGCGCACCGAACTGGCACGCCTCCACGTGCGCATGCGCCTCCGTTCTTTTGCCAAGGGCTCAATCGCGGCAATTCGCCGCATAGTCATCTGCAGCATGTGCGCCACTCGAACGTCGCACAGTAAACAAAACACGTCAAACTGATGGAACATTGAATTGAAACAATTTGCAATATTGCTTGAGTCGTGTGCGTGCGTACATAACCGTCACGGCGATCAGTCCGTGGCTCATCGCCTGGAAACACATATGCCCACCCCAGATCTACGGAGACAGCCGGTAA